TGAGCAATATCTTAGCAAACAGAAAAGATAAGGCCTTCTTATTTTATATTCTAGCTTGTCAATATCTGTAATTTGAGTTTCTAATTCATATGAAATAATATACTTAGTATTTTCCCTTCACAAACATCTAATTTGAACCAGTGCTGCATTCAACACACACACAAAAAAAAATCGATGTTTATTTGTGTTTTTTAAATATTTACTTTTAAATTAACAAATTGAGTAATGTATAGTTCTAAAATTTGAATTATAATCTACAGTTTGGTACCAAACTTATTGACATAAGTTCATGAAATAGTAGTTCAATAAAATTTTGAAAGCGAGTCAACAAACGAGATGACATGGCCTTTCACCTGTGACCCGTCTCAAAAGGGTTAAAGGTTGAAAACACCCTATTAGTGGGGGGGTGTATCCAATTAATGTCCTTGGGCAGAATGGTCGTAGAAGCTTTTTGTAGTTTGCCTTGTACTTGTTACTAAAACTATTAATTATTAATTGTAATTATTACTGTAGAACCTTTAGCACCTCTTCTGGTAGAACTTGTTACATAATGAAGAAATGAATTAAAAGTAAAGCTTATAGTCTAATAAATAGTTATATATAAATCCTTTTCCATCGTTTATAGATCCAAAACTTTAAAACATCTTGCATGACTAAGTATATCCCCTGCAGGTAAGCTAGGTGAAATAAATTAATACATTCTTATAAGCTAGTGGGATGAAAATGTTTAAAATTCAGTTTACCAAATTGTCCAGCTATACACATCCTTGTTTGCTCACTTGAACCTTGACATTGACCAGGCTCATCACTAGAATGTTTACATGTTCGTTGTCTATGTTGTTCATCATTCTTATCACAAAGTGACCATTCTGACCATTCTTTCCAGCCTTCGAGACCTGAAATCAAAGTAGACCAATAAACAAAAGATAAATTCCTAAACACAACTACACAAAGGAGTAAACCTCAAAAAAGAGCAAGTAAAATAAGTCAAAATAGTTGTCAAATTCAAATTTTCTGTTTTGCATTTTTGAGAAATTCTTCCATAATAAAAAATCTACACCATATCTGACAGTTAAAGAATACTGTTAAGTAACACATTTTAAGTATTTTATTGACCTGTAATTTTTTGAAAAGACAAAAATAAAGTCTTTAGCATGCAGCATGATGTTGAATTCCTGTTTTCTTAACACACGTTATATAAAAAGTGCATGTGGGAGTGAAGAAATACCCTGCCACTTACTTTTGATACTTAATGACGGGGAAGTTTTTCCAGATCTTGAGAAACAGAGTTTCCTGTTGCATCACCAACAGAAAATTTCACTTATAAATTTATAAACGTAAGAGAGTTTCATTAATGCATCCAGTTTAAATAACCAACGGGAAGGTGCATACAAAAAGAGAAGTGAAATTTTAACTTCAGGCAGTGTTTATTAGCTGTTTTCAAACTTGACAGTTACATAGGCTGAAAAACACTTTAGAATTTATTTGTCAGTAATGTTTAAATGGTGTTTTATATTAAAAAATGCTTTATCTGGTTGCTGTTTTATTTGCATAATTAAACACCAGAGCACAATATATTCTTTCATCACGTCCAAGCCAAAGAATTATTTTCAAATAATTCCGTCTCAAATAAAAAAAGAAATTAATTCATAAATCAGATCAATATAAAAACTTAAGGAATACTCAGTTGTATATGACAAACTCACAACTCTCTAATTAATTAATTACTACAAGTACATGAAGCTAAATACCTTAAAACACATACAAGCCAAAAGAATTACTTTTTTTAAGCAAGCTAAATGAATTAGTTTGACCAAAATTACAGAACCTAAAAAAAGGAAACTGAATAGAAACAAAAATTGATGAGATTGAGATATTCTTCTTTAAACTTTTTTTCAATAGTGAGTAATACTAACTAATACTGCAATACAATTAAAATCACTAATTTTTATAAAGTATGACATTTCTTTGTACTTAATTCATAAATGGTTAAAATGTTTTTACGGTTCACAAACTTACAGGGCCCAGCTATAAGCACAGTAGACCTGAGTTAGCATTTCTTTGCTGTAATTTGTGTGATTTGTTAGAATTAACTTGTGCATTGAATTCCAGCTTTTTAGATACTTATATTTGTTAGATTGGTTATTATCAACCAAGTAGCAAGTATGGGCCTATAAGCACAGTTGCATTAGTTTTAACAAATCCATATATTACTTAAGTCTTTCCTTGTATTTGGAGTACTATATCTTTTATCTAAGACATTTATGAAAAAAACCTAAAAGAACAGCAAGTCCAAAATCATGCAATGTGTTTTAATGAATATGTGAATATATGAAAAGATTCTGTGTAGAGTTTTTTTACCATAAGCCTACAACAATAATGTAGTTTTTTTTTTTGTTAGCTGGAAGATATAGAATGCTCAGAAACTTTTAAGCTGATAGGAAGTTATTCTTGTACATTTGAGGCTATATCTTAAAAATAAGATAGTTGTAAAGTGTTTAGAATAGTTCTGAGTGTTTCAAGAGCAGGGTGACGTGAAACATAGTTAAGGAGATAGAAAGTTATTACAAGACAAAGCTGAATCACTCAGTGTGTTTTCATGAAGTATCTGGGTCTGTGTTTGCTATTGTGTGTATTGAGTTGCATCATAGAAGTTAATTATTTTTTTACATAGTTCAGTAAACTTAAGGTCACTTGTAACAATTTACAACAATGGACAGTAAGTTTGTAGAAACATCAAAGAATAAAGTAAACTAGTTTATGATTGTTATGTTATTTTTTATCAGATAACTTAAAAGAATTTGTTATGTGAAAAATAAACTATTATGTGAAACCTACTAGATATGAAAATTTTTTTAATTGTCCAATATATATTGTACAAGCATTAAAAAAACTGATAATTAAATAACAGGATATATCTAAGAATGCATTATAACACTCATCATTGTGCTTATTAGCCAAACATCTTTTGGGGTTAACATTACATTATATTGAATAAAACTATGAAAGGAAACTATGTAACAAGTACTATTTTTTTAGCCACTAACTGGATGTGATCAACAAATTATTGGTACAAATTAGAACTGCTATAATTAATGAAGGAAAAACTTAGCTTTTATTTGTAATGGTTCAAGGATTGTAAATTAAGACCAAATAACTGTAAATAAGCAATTAGTAAGTGGTATACATTTGTCTAGTTTCCCAGCACTAACCTTTGCAAGACAGTGTGTTGCATTCTTTTTCTTTGTAGCTTTCACCATCACAATCACTTTCCTCACTATTACATATCCGTGTTTTCGACTGGATGCCTCCACCACATGATTTTGAACACACAGACCATAAAGACCATTCTGACCAGCCTCTTTCTGTATTTACAAAAGCTAGAGAAAATACTTAGCATAAGAAACATTTAAGAGATGAAGGAAAAGATATGTTACAGCTGTACATGATGACAATGATGATCCAGAGAGACAACTTTTTAATAATTTATTAGGCTACTAATCAAAACTTTTAGTATTTCTCCCTCTTTTTTCTCACAAAGTAGTTAGCATTTATAATGGGTTATCTTCAGATGTAGTTGAAACAGTAAGCTATGGGGATTTTAAGGGAAAGCTTGATAAAAATTTAACAATAAGAAGTGGCTTTGAGTTTTTTCTTTTAACAGTTTAGTTAACTGGATAAGGCAATCTGGATGGACTAACAGGTTCCTTGTTATCCTTAAATATTATAATGAGTTTCAAAGACAAAGCAGTAGTTTATTATTCATACAGTTATTGAAATATTAGGTTATCCTACAATTACATGTCACAGTTTACAAAATATTATGCTGACACACAGTAACTTTATTGCTAATATTGAAATATTAGGTTATCCTACAATTACATGTCACAGTTTACAAAATATTATGCTGACACACAGTAACTTTATTGCTAGACATCTGCCATGCAAAAGGGTTTTTGGTATTATTAAAAAGAAGCTTCATAGTGTAACATTAGCAAACATACTTCTTGCCAATTATCTGCAAATGCAGTGGAAATTTTGACATCCAGTTTAATGAGTAAAAACAAACTGTATATAGAATTACTTTTCTCTATGTATTTTCTTTCAGGTAATCTGAATTATCACTGATTTATTTCTGCTATTCCTTTTTTAATACATGAATGAAGGCATTTTATTACCATTATTCATGCATATAGATTATGAACAGACTTTCACACACGTAAAAAGTAAAAAAATATTGAACTGTACTATGAATTCACAGCATTTTAGAAAATAAATGAAAAGCAGTAAACAAATCATCATCTCAATAATTCTTTGAAATTATTTTATGTTAAGCAGTAACAGATATTTTTCAAAGTCTTTACCGATGATGTTAATGCACCCTGAGAGAAGAGTTACTGGTCACAAAAATGAGGAGCTCATTGATAATGGTCTTTAATTTTGAAGATTTAATATCTTGTAAATTTCCAGCTTGATGAAAAAGGACCCGATTTCTTTTATGCTTAATAGAACCCCAAAAATTATGGAAATAAACTTGCTAAAAACAGGGTAGAGTATTTGACAGTTGGTATCTTTGTATTTATAGTTTAAAGATGAATAATAATATTGCTTTAGAATGAAAACCATGATATATGTTAACTTGCTTTACTTGTTTGTATATATTAAAATCTACTCAAAAAGGTTAAAATGAGTAACCTATCTAAAGTATATTATGGTATTCTGTTGCATTATTGAATTGTTATAGCATGTTAGGTTTAGAACAGAGAAAAAGAAATATATGCCAAACTGGTACGAACATTGTGTTATGTTCAGTTATTTTCAATATTGTCTGTGAAAAACTACTAACTGTTTTAATTATATATAGGTCACAATAAAATCAATTGTTTTACCTGCATCAAAACAGTTCCTGCCTCCTTCTGAACAGTATCTTTCCTCGCTTCTCATGTTTCCAACACGAAGTAAATTCTCCTGTGCAACATTGGCATTACAAATAAATCTGAACCTTTGTTCAAAGTAGCCATCTTTAGTTTTGTTTGCTTGAAGCCAAGGAGTCCATTTGCTTGTTTTTCTAAATTCTGGACATGAATGGGTGTTGCATTGTTGGTAATCATGATCACATCCTAGACATTCTCGACCACCATTCTTGGGTGCTGGACTATTACACTTTCGTTGTCGCATCTGTATTCCCCCTCCACATAGAGCAGTGCATTCAGTCCACACTGACCAATCTGACCACAGTCCATCCACTGGAGGTAGAATAGGACCTAATATTTCAGAATAAAATTCATATTTATTTAGACACATTTTGTAATCCACCGCATAAATAAAAAAAAAAAATTATACTTGCAAACAAAAGCAACAAAAAGTATTTCAATCATAAAAACTTTACCAGGGCAGGGAGGATTTGTGGTACAGTAGATTTCCTCTCGCTCAGGACCCAAGCAAATTCGACCACCATAAGCAGGGGAAGGATTCCCACAAGTCCTCCGACGTGTCTTTACTGCTAATCCACATGTTTGAGAACAAGCTGACCATGCTGACCACTCTGTCCACTGTCCATTTTCTGCAACAGAAATAATTACTTTAAACTGACAATGTAATACTATAACAGAATGAACTTTCGAATTTCTAATTCAATATTTCCCATTAAAGAACTAATTTACACAGGCCAAATTAATTTATTAATGTAATACAGAATATTGTTCAGTTTTGATTCTGTACTCAATATTTATTTACCTTTCAATTAGTTGTCAAAAACATCACACCCAAAGTTTACTGATCAACATTCATAATTCTAGCTTGCCAAAAAAAATTAAAAATACTGTAATAGTATTAACTAATTATAAGGGCACTATAAGGTTTCACAAGTTTCTGAAAAAGCTAACATTTTTTTGCTATGACTGAGATAATGTTATGACATTAAAAAAAAAAGACCCAATATCTTAAGAAGTTAATATTAAAGCATAATAATCCCCTTACAATTTGTGAGTTTTGGTTTTATCATGAGAATTTTTTTACATTATTCTAATATATATAATTTAAGGTCTAACGTTTATATCAGCGAATTGTTACAAGTCAAAATAAAATACAACTGGTTGAACATCATTGTGTAAAAATAAAAATGGGTTAAACCAAAAATCTGAAACTTAAAAGGAGTGGAGTGTTTTCTGATACTGACTAAGCAGAGAGAGCTTAGTAGACTTTTAGCTTAAAATACTAATAATATTAAAACGTGTAAACTAAGATTAAATAAAATAATGCTGTTAAACTTAACAAATGCAAAATATTTCCATCATAATCCACTAATCTAAAAGCATAGTGAAATTTACATACAGGTCAAAGTGTAAGCTGATCAACCAGTTTATTTTGAATTTATAACTAAACTATTTATAAAATCCCTTTTAACTTACGTGTACAGTTGGCAACTTGAAAGTCCATGCCTTCACATTTCATGCCTCCATTGGCTGGAGTTGGACTGTTACATTTCCTTTGTCGACATAAACAGAGGTCTCTGAGCACATCTTTTTCTATCTGTTCACATTCAAACCAAGATGTCCATGGTCCCCAGCCACCATTGACTAAAAACATCACATGAAAATATAATTTATAATTATCACAACTCAACATACCTTTGATGCAATAACAGCAACCCTTTAACTATTTAAGATAAAACAAAAAGCTTAAAACATTTAAACTTAAGTTTTGTGTAAAACAATAGGTCCCCTACGTACATCTCAAATTATAACTTTCAATTACTTTTTGAAATGTGTAAAACTATGGTTAATATTCTAATAGTGAGGTAAATAAAACTCAAAACTATCAAAGCATTTTGTTATTAAACACAAAAACCAAACTAAAATGAATTTAACCAAAAATATTGATGTTTAATATAATATACTATGAATATTTTACAAAACAGTGAAGTAATGTGTAATTGTTTATATTAAAACACTTAATAAACATACAAACTTAATTATTTGTTATCCTAAAACTAAACTATTTTGCAAAGATACATCAAAACTGAAAGTAAAAACAGATATTCTGTGTATTATCATTAACTGCTGATCAAAGCAAGTTACTTATACAGATGAACACAAAAAATTAAACCAGTAATGAATTTAATACAATGTTTTACTTATAATGATTATAATACATTGATTCATCAGCTGGCAATATTTTGGCTATATCCCCAATAAAGTCTTGGGGTGACATAGCTAAATGTTTTAACTTTCTTTGGTTGGCATATGAAATGAAACAAATTGTAGCATACCAAGTTAAAGATGTCATAGAATGAGATGTGTATACTTTACTTGTTTACTATACTAACCTGGTAAATGGGTGCGAGGGCAACCAATTTCCTCCTGTTTCCAGAAGGAACTTACTGGGTTTCTGTGAGGAGCTGTGGTGCAAGCCATCTGGTACTCATTCCACCCACAATAGGGATCCATTGCATTTAAACATGACCTACCAAAGGCAAAAATGTATCAAGTTTGACAGCCTTCTTATCACACACACTTTATAGAATATTAAACCAACTTTTAGACCACACTGAATAGTGGATCAATAAATTAGCTAGCTAGTTTTAAGTTTCTAGTAGTTAAACAACTAACACTTTCATACAAAAGAGCTTAACAAGACTATCTGCAACTAAACTGTATGTGAATATTAAAATTAAATATGAGACCAATAATATGGGAAACATTGTAAAATTAATAAAACCTCTATTTCTGAGAAATGAGGCTGCTGTATAATGGTTTTCAAAACAAGTTCATTAATTTCAATTGATACTGCTAACATGACTTAGATGTACAACTAATTATAAAACCACCACACATACATTATTCAATAATTTAGTTAGATTTTTATAAAATCTTAGATCACTGGTTCCCAAATTTTTTTCACTGATGACACCCTAACCCACTCACTTTGATTTATGAGACATCCCCCTGCTGTCATATGGGATTTTTTTTTCATGTTCTTAATTATTCCTCACTTGATGAAACTCTTGTGAAACTCCTAAACTTCTAGCAGTTTGGAAACTACTGCCTTAGATTTAATTTTGATTGTTATAGTATCCTTGCCGATAGTTTTATCTAGTGTTATTAAAACAACATACTGCTCATTGACAGATCAAATAAAGGAGAAAAAAGCTCTTAAAAGTTATTTACACAGACAATTGTCTTAACAGTGTTTCTTAAAGGATTAATGCTATCTGTACTACTGATAACCAAACTAATAATCCATGTTTTCCCCCTCTCTCTCTAGCAGCAGCTCTTTACATCCCAGGCTTTACTAAAGCTGTACTTTCTCGTTATAATCCAACTGAATTAATTTTTTTTTTCTGTGATGTAGAAGTGTAATAATAAAATTTGACAAATTTTTACTCACGTTTCACTGAGGAAGCGTTCACAACGATGTAATGGAACCCTAAGAACTTCTTTGTCTGTTCCTATGTAGAGAGAATTCTAAGCAAGGGGTGGAAAAAAAGATATATGAACTATAAATGTAATGTTCTGCACACCCAATTCAATATATGGATTAAGATTTAAATACACAATTCTATGAAATAATAACAGCTTTGTAAAAATAGCCATCTGTAGAATGGCTGATCCTCCTGATCATTTGGTGTTTTGTGTTTTTGTATTGTGAATTCTGTTTTCTTTTGCACAGACACCAAAATTCTATTTTTTTCAAATGATGACCTTTACTTTTGTTATTTTAACCTCAAAATCAATAGATAGATGGATGAACAAAGACATTAATACATACCACTTAACTTTTATTTTATTTAGGGGGGGGGGATTAAATACAATATAGGTTAAACAATTTGCATTACATCAAATGATCTCAAAAACTGGTTCTTCAACTATATGTTTAAAAACACTTAATTTTGTAATAGTTAATTTTTAATTTATAACCATGCACTTAAAAAATTAATGCAAAATTATAATGTTTCCATTCCTACCATCTTTGAGTTTCATATTCCCATTACAAATGTTTATGGTTGCAAACAAATTTCGTTTCAATGTTCCATTAGTTACTTTTTTTACTTTTTACCTTTACTGTAATACTTTTGTTGCAGATGAAATGTGTGCATTCTGGAGTGTCACTTCTGAGGTCATACTTTTCCTTATTAGACTACCTGATGATGATTGATAACTTTTAAAAATAACTTTTGGAAAGATAATCACCCTAAATATGCCAGTTAGATTTTCAAGTATTTTACAAAGTTATTTTACTTGCCTATTAGAAGACCTAAAAGTATTTTATTACTGCATACTATAATGAACAAGCCTAATACTGTTATTTCATCAAGTTCAGGTTAATTACAATGTTCTTTAAAAATCTTACCGTGTCTTTTAGCAACTTCAGAGACAGTATTTTATTAGTGCTATTTTGTGGAAATACATGTATCTCTTCAACTAAACAAATCTGGAATTTCTGAGGTACATCTACAAGCTTCCTTATTACACCTTCATTGTTAGATACAAAGATGACATGAGCGGGATCATCATAGTGCTTTGTTGGCACAACATCAACTACAATATGGTTGAACCTGGTTAAGAAAAAAAGGTGGATCAAAAGTTATTTTTCATTGTAGCAACAAAGTTAATGAAGATTAAAATGTGTTACCACAATTAAGAAAGGCAAAGATAATATATCTTTTACTAAACTATCATCATTGGGTTAGAAAACACCTTCGCTGAAAAATTTTTAACTATTTTTAATGAAATAATGTTGTCTAACAATTACAAAAAATAAATATGTATTTTTCTTCCTGTCTCCAAGAATGGTTGATATACTAAACACTTACATGATAACAAACAAACACTACAGTCCAAAACAAAAAATATACTGTATATAACTTGATCTCTGTAAATATCTTTTTTAATGGTTCAATGTGTACAAGTGTATATAAGCTTCTAAACCAAAATTATAAACATCACTAACATTACCTTTCCAATTCAGTTGTATAAAGAGGCTTAGAATAAGATGGTTGAATAGCCTCATCCATCAATTTCAGGTGGTCAGCATCTAATATATTTTCACTGCTGCCAGGTGTTTCACACTATTTTCAAAAAGGAGTCAAAATATGGTGTCATAACAATCACCTGAATTCTGAATGGTGCAGTTTTATTTTGTTTAGTCTCACGTATAAAACAAATACAAAGTTCATTACCAGTCTGTTTATTCAACCCATTTTACCAAATAAATACAAGATTAAATCTTACACAGTACAGAATAACCAATAACAAAACCTTTCCTTTTCTTCATTGCACTATTAAAAACAAGATTAATGAAAAGAAGAAAAAAATTGCAGGGTTATTCATACAATCATTCTATATACTGTTCAAGCACTATATCAATAATATATTTTTAGGTGTTCAATTACAACTGATAAGTATATGAAAATTATTTCATGTATTAGTCACAGTATAAAATTAACATTAAAAAGAAGTTACATTATAATAAAAAGTAACATTTCTGACATATTTATCAATATATCAAAGCTGTTTTTATTATAATATTACCACATTTTTATGTAACATATATAAATGTCAAAACTATGTTCAAATTTAAATATTCAATTAGTTCCTTTTCTAACTTACAAATAAAAACATGTCGCAGGGAAATGAAATTTTGCTCCAGTAAAAAAAAAAATTACAAGAATGTTTATGTTGAAAGATATTAGCTAAGCATGTTTTACAAATTATTATAAAAATAATGTCTAAATTACACAAAGAAAGTGGTTTAGAGAATGATGCAAACTGGTTTCTTCTAGTTAAGTATTTAAAACTTACAGAAAACAAAATAGTAGTAGCAAGATTATAAACAAAACATGTTGAGGCATTATTAAAAAACATTTTTCTTAAATGACTTGGAAGACTAAAAAATTTTCAACTTAACCCTAAACTTACTGTACCCAATAAACAATGTAAAAATGTGGCAAAACATTAAAAAATATATCATTAACCCGGTGCATTATTTTACTTTCAAACATATGTTCATATGAGTAACAATTTATCACAATGTTCCAAGAAACATCTGTACAAGTTTTGTTACCTGAAAATGTTCATGGGGTCCTTTATGTCTTTCCCATTGAGACTCTTGACTTTTCTGGTACTTGAATGGTCCATTGAAAGCACTATGTATGGCTGCCATGCTGAAGGCACAAATAGCTGATCCATATATGCTGATTCTAATAAATATAAATGGATTTTCATCTCATTTAAAATGTGGTAGATCACTCTGTAAGAGCCAGCATATATTAACTACACAGGCCTGGCAAACTTAAAGTTCATAAAAGTTGTTTTGGTTTTAATATTTCGCTTATCACAATGAACATTATTTATTATTATATTTGTTAACTAAAATACAAACAAACTGAAGAAAAGGAAAGAACATTGATGTCAAACGAATATACATCCTTTGTCTTTCAGTCTCAAAACTATGTTTTGTGATCTTTCTTTTATGTATTGAATTATGATGTATTGTGAAAAATCTGTACATCATTTTTGGATTCAGCATACAGGAATTACTGTAGAACATGTAACAATTTTATTAATGTAAGTGGCTATTGTTCATCCTGAACAATACCAAGGAAGGGACAGTGTCTTGACAGTGGAAGTCACGTGATGATGCTGGCACATTGGCACTGGTAGTGCATGTGTGAATGAGTTTCTTGAATTATCAGGGAACTCCTCGATCTTTGTCGAAGCCTCTTTGTTAGGATATAAACCTGGCGAGAAAAGCCAGTGGCGATGGAATGTATGGTTAAAACGAACAGTAGTCACGGTAAGTTATTGAGAATCGCTGTGATTTATAGCGTGTATTATAAAAGTCATTAAGTTGAAAGTGATGAGAAATGCACTGACAGTGAAATTACTGTGTATTAAAAGTTTGTATCGAGAAAGAATAAACTGGTTTAATCAAGAAGGGACTTGTATCGCTGAAGTTCCTCGGAAAGAATTTATACCGGAGATTATCAAACAAGCAGATACATAACAAATCCTTGAGAAATCAAATTTACTTTAGTGTAACTAAATATCCAAATTAATTTCTTAATTATTAATACTCTATCATACATTTGGGTCTGAAATGGTCACACACCTAACATTGATCCATTTTTTAAGTGTCAACAGCATAATTTACTTTACAATCCATCAAGGATAACATGCATTTTAGTCAACAGAACATTAGTTTATTTGTCTGTTATGCATATGACAAACATTTCATAATAGTTCTCATGAAAAAGAACAGCAGGAAAAAAAGTCTCTCTGTCCCTAGTACCTGTAAATAAAACTAAATTTGTAATTGGTACGTACAACTTGTTAAAGTTTCCATGCTAATATTATTCAGTAAAACAATATCTAATTAGATAACTTAATAATATATATCTCTGTGCAAAAAAATAAGACTCACTTAATGTGTGCATCATAAAATAAATAAATAAAAACAATATGTAAACAGATACAAATATTTTTCCAAGTAGTATCCTTCCTGGTTTACTTTTTTGTACAAAGCATGAGAGAAAGTTAAAAAAAACAGATAGGACAAAACTTTTGTGTTTATGAAACATGAAAAACAGTTAGAATAAAGCAACACTTACTCAGGTGTAGTAAAAGTAGCATAGAACACTTGTTCCCTCTCAAGATAATAAATGCTTTGCAACTCATTGTAGTAGAATGGATACTCCCCCGGAAGAGAACAATTTAATCGAGCCTTTAGGAATGTTGTCCAGTTATCTTTTAACATGAACTGGCCTCCTTGGTCATTCTTACAAATTCTTCCTACCCGAGAAAAGATTATCTGGTAGAAAAAAAAAGATATCAATGAAAATGACTAAGACATTATGGAAAGTAATTCAAAGTCCTGAATTAACAACATTTATATACACTTTTGACATTTAAATAAATCTACTGTTACTCATTAGATATAGGACAGTAATTATGGGTCAGAGTATTATAGGGGAAAAATAAATTATATAATCTTAGTAACTTAGATTTTTATTTTAGTTTTTTTAACTTTATTGACAAATGTGACCTTTCCATATGTATACACTTTAATATTTCTCTAATGTTAAAAAAAAACTTGACTAAAAAGTAATAAAAATGTGGAGATTTGATTAGCATATACTCAAAAACATAAAATAAGTAGTTTGTAGCTTTAGAATTTAAATAGAAAAGTCAGTTTTAGAGAACTGAATATTTTATAAAACATGGATAAGCAGTTATGGATAAATAACATACATCACACCATAAGAATCTTTTTTTTTTTCATGCATACTTCTAGCTGATATAGACCTCACAAAATATTTAAATTAAAGAGGTACAAAAAAAAATATCTGGGATATCATCTCAAATATTCTGGTGAAACCATTGCCAGCTATAGAACTTTCAGTTCATTATCATAAAATCAAGTTGAAATCATATTAAATTTATATTAAAGATGTTCTTAAATTAGTCAACATAATTTTATTCCTTTAATTTGTGTATATTTAAGTGCATAGTTGAATAAGAGTTTATTTACATACTAACATTTTGAAACTTCTCAGAGTGATAATGCCCACTTTTGTAAAATATTAAATATTATCTATCTTGAAAGTGATCCAAAGTCTGAACAGCAAATACTATGTCCCAGACACATATATAAACTTACACTGTTGGAATTTGGCCAACAGCAAGAAATGATGGATTTAAGTTACCTTAAAAACAAAAAATAAAACATGTCTGATATAACATGATTTTCCTAGAATTAAAAAACAAAAAAGCCAACAGTGGTATTTGTTTAAAACTGGTTTTAAAATGATCAAAACAAGACAGACTACATTTACAAGAAACTTACCTTGCCACAGTTCATGTGTTCTACAGCTGATTCTCGGAAGAAGAAATATGTAAAGTTTCCAATTTCATAGGATGCAACAAAGTCTGGTTCTGAAAAAACAAAATTCTATATGAACACTATGTAAATTCACACATACATACTTTTCTGATGACCAGATCAAATCAATGTATGTTTGTTGAAATCTGGTGCGTTTTTTCAAGTACCATCTACTAATAATATTCTCAAGCAAAATCAACTTCATAGTACTAAAATAACATTCAGTTTAGATATTTTTTATATTCATCCCTAAAACAAAATGTATCAACAGATCTACAGCTGGTATCTCACTATATGTGGACTTTACCACACATACACACAAAATATCAGAATTATTTTAAGTATATGAAGTAGTGTGCGTGTGTGTGTGGTTACATTTTCTGTCCAAATTTAGTTTTGTATATATTGCAAAATCACAAGTTTAACAATTTGTATCAAACCTTCTCTTAATTTATTATAAGCAGCAACATTTACATACAAGATTTAAAACTACAATACAAGTTTTTAAAGAATATTTGAACAATGATATATAACACATGTTCAATCAACTTCCAGAAGGTTACATAATCCACAAGGATATGTCAAAATTCAAATACTTTGATGGTAGAAAACCTGAAATGGGTAAAATTACATCCCCACCACCCAACAAAAAAAAAAAACTGTTGGTATACATCAATAAGAAACTTATTTATGTTGAAAAACAATATGTTGTTGTAATGGTTTTACTACATGAACACGAATACACAAAAAACTCAAAAGTATCTTCTAAAATTCAAACAATTATTGTATAATTTTCAGTGTTAAAAGAGTTTTTCCATTTTTTTTTACTTTGACAACAATTAATATCTTTATGTTTTAAAAAATTTCGTTTTTTTAATTATTTTTACACAGTGCTATTATAAAATGTATAAGCTACCACAGCTCTGTTCTTCTCACATTACAGTTTAATCTTGAAGAATAGTTTAGCTTCTCAAGTATTTGTAACTTACCACTTAACCATCGTGCATCGTACTGTACAGTACGCAAGAATGGACCCTTGCCCAAGGCACGATGAATAGCACTATCACGAGCAGAGAAATCAAGTGCTGAGGCTATGTAGTAGTCCCCCTGCACTGTAATAAGTGCACTGCTATTTTCATGAGGGCTATAAGGACATTTTGCTTCCCCTGGGATTTTCTCTATTACGTTTCTAATGGAATTGATCTGCAAAATAACAGTTGAAGATGACTTTCATGAACATTTATATAATTTTTAAAGAAATTTTATAACGTTCACAGTGCAACGCCCTGAAAAGGTACAGTAAGTTATAATTTTACGGTTAATCGATCGATAACTAACACTAATCCAAATATTTCTTTGAAATTAAATACTTCAGTGAATGGCCTGCACTTTATCGATTGAAAACAACTGACAAAAACTCAATGCTTCACAGATTCTCTTATTTATAATCTACTCTCGTCTCTCGATACTCCTTGAAATTACTACATTCGTTATGTCATAATTACAACATTCTAGGTATTCTAGGCCTACTTTTATAAACCTTTTCTATCTTAATGACATGTTCCCTAACATATAAATTAAAGCATTGAAAATACAACTTAAAACAACAGAATACTCACATCTCGCCAATAACACTCAGGAGAAAAGGCATTCGTACCACAAGCAAATAATTTGCTGTTGTGGCTAAGAAGAACTTTGATGAAGTTACGACAGTTTTCCTGGGAATATTAAGTTAAACCACTTTTAAACATCTTGAACGTTAAAATGTGCCACCATTATAAGAATCATTTTTTTATGTAATACAAAATAGAATATCAGACATTTCAAGCTTTACGCAGTAACTTCAAATTAGTTACTCAATTTTTACATGCACACACAAGTCACAATTAATCTTACTTCCTGGAGTGTAGAAGTTACAATGCTTTTACTTTCGGAAATATTATATGACATTCGAAGTTCGTCAAAATGCCGAATTGCAGTAATATGCGAATTTCTGTTGTATTCTCATAATCTTTACTAGCAGTGCTGTTATATCCACAGTTATCCATGCCAATATTATGATTTATTGGATTATCAAATATAAATGTGTGACCTCTAACGTGAGATAAATAATTTAAAGACATCTTTCATCATATTTGTAAGATGATTTTTTTTTCTTCAAATTGGTTTTCCAATAATTACATTTTTAAACAAGAAAAAAGAAATCAAAATTTTTTATTTACAATCAAACATTAATATAAACATGTTTAATCATGCTAATATATTTAGACGTGTGAAGGCTTTCGGCACCATAGTTTTTCATTATTTTACATTATTATAAAATCAAAGTTACAAACGCTGCGGACATCAAACTAAAAGATACGACATATAAGCGTGACCTATGCTTACAACGCTTTGTCCTTTTTGCCTGCATTTTGTTATTGTGGTTTCCGACGACGGTAAATGTACTTCTTCCAATTGTTTCAATTCTTCCAAATTCAACCTGTACAAGCTGTCCCTGTATGTATAAAACAAAAAAAGGATAATTAAATATATTTATACAAAATTATTCTCTTAAAAAGTTAACATATTTTCTAAATTCAAAAACTGATAGTTAATTAATTTACATTGCAATTGAAATTTGCATATCCCAATCTAAGAGTTGTATCAGAAAACCATATTTAAAAACAAACGTAAACGTCCGTAATACATTTCCTAAATTAGTCTTCTGAAGTTACAATTGCATCTCAACTTTCGCAAGTTAGAAAGTTAAATAACATGAATCTGTCAGTTTCCTAGGAGTATTTAAGTAACTTTAAAAACTCATGAACACATTCAAGAATTATTCATAATTCATAAAATGTCCAAATTAACATGGAAACGTCAGCTATTCTGTGTTTACAAAGTTGTAAACATTGCACTGAATTGTTAAACTATGTAAATTTCATATTGACAATTGATATAATTTAACTCATAATGACAATAGTTAATAATATTCAACCTGGGTTTAGACATCACTGTATATTTTTGTTTGTTCTTGGTGAGGGCAGTCAAAAAGTCGTTCACATGAGGTTTTCCAAGTCACTGACTTGGTTGTGTAATATATTTATCATTAAAAAAAATCCTCTTAACTGAGAATAATAAAGATGTTCCAAACATGTTATTTTAATTAACTATATCTTACCTTGCCCCAACAATAAGCTGGTATCGTGGGATGTCAAACAATAGCTGGGAGAACGTTGTTACCCCTCCTGGCCTGAACCTGTCCACACTACCTACAAGGTCTATAAATCACAAAACATCATGAAAACAACAACAAAAAACGGCTATAGAAAGAAATTTACATACACGCTTCATGCTTCTACGTTATTTTTCTTCCTAATGATATATGTTCGTACGTATTTTTGAAAAGTCATCATTTATTGATAGAGCATTCTTATTAAAAATATTAATAAACTGATAAATTTTAACAAGCAAGGTTTAATTTCACGAGTAAAAAACGGTTTGTTTGTAATTTGGCACAAAGCTACACAATGGGCTATCTGTGCTCTGCCCACCACGGGTATCGAAACCCGGATGCGAGCGTTTAAGTCCGCAGACATACCGCTGTACCACTGGGGGGCCGTAAAAAGCGGAATCACGATGATAAATGCTTCGAGGAATATATGACATATATTCGTGTGCTGGATTATAATAGACTTGCTTTTGCTTAGTTTTGGACCCTAATGGGAAAGTGGTAAATTTACGAATTTACAACGCTAAAATCCGTGGTTCGATTTCCCATGATGGACACAGCTGATAGCTCAGTATAACTTTGTTTCAAATAAACAAACACATTGCACACTGTATGATAGAACTTTAATGAATACTTCAAAAATGCTTGTCCTGTTTTTACTTTACAAAATAGCAACCATTGATTTTAACACGACTTTTTAGAAGTTAATTTTTTAAATAGGAGCCTATATACTAAGTTTAAAGGCAAATTTTTTCTGCCGAAATTGGTATTTATACGAAAAAGATTGCGTGACAATTCCCGATTTTAAACATTGAAAAAAAAGGCGAAAGATGAAATGTAGTCTCTCTTTTTTATTGGTTTTTTAACGCATTTAACAATGAAACTTGCCTGACGCGACATTTTTATCCTTACCCATTACTTTATTAGCTTGACTAAATTCTTGCCTAAGTATTGATACCACGTGTCATCCTTGTATGAGGTGCTAAACTTATTCCCAAGGCGCAATAAAGAATAGGCAACTATTAGCAGCTGTTTAGGGATATTGTATTTAATGATACGAAAAATGCACACGACTAATATATTTCATTCTTTCATACAAGTTTTTAATACAGTAACAAGTGTGTGGGTGGTTTTAGTCTGTTTTTGTTCGTGCACGTGTGTTTATAGGGGGAAATGTTCGTCATATTTACAGCTGCCACGTGGCATGTAATAATAATTCCAGAGTTTAAAACCAATTCCAACACGTACCAAACATTCATTTCATTATATTGTAACATATTCATGTCATTAAGTGCAAGTCTTTAAATCTTTACGGTGTTTTTCTTCTTCTCGTTATTAAACTACGCAGTGAGAGGGTAAACTAAGCAACAGGAAACGAGCATTTTTTTCTTTTAGACCACATGTTGCAATGGTTGACTTTAATCTACATTCATCTTGAGGTTCATTAGTAGCTGGCTTTGTCGGACGTGGATAATCATATTTCTTACAATCTTTTAAGTCTGAAATACTCAGAAAACGCAAAGAAAAAGTCCATGAAATAAAGATTAATTTCTAACACATACGTTAATGTAAATTAAAAAAATATAATGAAATAATCAAATCATACTTAAAAAATGCAAAGACAAACAAATCAAACAAATGGTTTTCAGCCAAACAATAAATATCTAGTTATATTTTACAAAACTTTTCAATTCTTAATTACAGAATGGACTGTTTCTTTTCACTAACTATTTTCCCCAATTAGTTTTCTTTTTTAGTAGAAATGTTCAAAAAAGGTAATATCATTATGAAGGTGAAATAAAATCTAAGATGTAATGATACGACAATTACAAAACCTACTATTTCACGTTTTCATAATTTTGTGTTTAAGATCCTATTTGTTACTACACAACTAGTATCTTTAAAACGGTTAGAACACTGTTAAATTAATTATTTACAGTACTGAACCATTGGTGAATTTTTAAGTAGTTCGGTTCATTGTTTTAAAATTATGAATTCGAAAACTACATTTGAAACAAGGACCACATTGGGTCAAAAAATAGTATTGATAGATTGCGACTCATTACGAGTTTCCACAGTTGTTGTTTTCCATGAACTTAAGTAATTTGCTCCCTCTCCGTCCAACATTTCATTTCATCTTATGTTGCTATTTTCAAGAAATGTTCGATGAAACTGCAAATTAACTTTTCCATTGATAAAACGTCACGACCAACATGAAAGCTGTAACGGTTTCTATCGTTAGGCAGGATCTTTTTTATTATTCGGTAAAAAATAATACAAAGTCCAACCCAATTAACGAAAGAGAAAGTGTTTATCTATTCTACAAATTTCTTGTTTTTTAACCTAATCAACGATAACCAAGAGATTGGCCTCAACTCATAAATAAGACATAAAAAGTACTTACTTGTTAAATATCCTCTCGTATCTACGGCAGAAACTTAAAACTGACTGAATAATACACTCGCTAATTTAGTAATCAATCAAAAACACTGTAACAGATTTACTAATGAATTAATTGATCAACTAACTCTGTTATGTTTTTACATTATTGCAATGTCCATCCCACCCCGCCCCCAAGTTTCAAGAAAATTCGAAACGTCAAATCTAAACACTCAAGAAATTTCTAGGCTTCACACATTATTATTGCGTCATGCCAAAACTCCCTCTAACAAACAATACAGAACTTCTACATTAAAATAATAAAACGTATTTCACAACACTACCCTCTCTGTATTGTGAAGTTTCCTTGAACAATGCTAATACGCAAATAAAAAATAAGATACTAAACTTAGGTAATTAGTAATAAAGTCACAACTAACAATATTAATATTCATACGTATAATATTACAGTTATTGAATTACTACTGAAACATGCAAAATACTAAGTGCAATATTAATTTTGGTTAGCAAAATGTTTATTCTTTGTTTACCGATTTATAAGTTGTTCTGTCAAATATTTTTAGTTGTTTTCTATTCCGTGGCTTATGGTACAAAGATGGGATGACCTCTTCCCGTTTACTACTACTACTACTGTCTTGCCATTGGTGCAGTTCTCTCCCAGTAGATGGTCACGGAAATACACAATTGGCTGCAAATCTTGCGATACCCTGGAAGTGATCTCGACTAGAATCTTGGGTTCTCCAGCACTTACTGAAGTTAGACAACTGACTTTTTTTTCGTTGACGTCCTTCCAAGGGTTATCACGAGAGATGACATTTGGTTTCGACCACCTATTTATTTGTATTCTGCTCTGTTGCACTATAGTTTGTCTGTCTTTATTACACTTCATATCAATTTTTTTTCTTACTTGGAATCCAACCTTTTGAGATGTAACTATTGTATGGTACAAGGGGGTTTGAAACTTGGATAATCTTATATCCATGTCTCTGCATGGAGTCAGTTGCTAATGTGCACTCTTCCTGGATACCAATTATCCACATCACGTTGTATAAAGAAGCTTCCCACAGGTTTCCAGTTTTCCTCTTTTGAAACTATGTATTGACGGGAACAGCAAGCGGATATCTTTCTTTATCTCTGCGGGCTAGTTCGTATCTTTAATTACCGGATTGGGTCGAAAAATCGTTGCTGTAAAACGAATGTTAATCAATATGTTGAAAGGCTTCTCATCAGTAAACCCATTGCCTCATAAACAGGTTTCTTTAAATAAGACACTTCTTATTTCTATTGAGGAAGATGGAGTATTCATATTCTCAAAATCTCATTCATCCGAGTTTCAGTTGTAGTGCCCATGTTTTCCAAAATTATAGTAGTTTCCTTCTCTTGTCATCCTTTGGAAGCAGTTTCTAGCAACATGCCCTTTTAAGTTGCGATTGAAATTCCTTCTATCGTGTGGTTCACCTCTTCCATTCCAAGTTAAAAGTTGACTGTTGAATCGTTTGAGCTCTTGTAAACCTTCACAGTGATGGTTTTATTTTATTTCATTTGGTAAGTCCATATTTCCAAGGCGATGTATTCAGTTGTTTATCTGCGACAGCTTCTTTTAACGATGTACCTCTACATTGCTTTAACCTAATTTGCATGCCTTCATCCACTACGGTATAATGAGCCAATGAATCCATTATTTCACCTGAAACATCTAGATAAGACAATTGGACAAGCTTTTCTAAATCTTCCGCATGTTCAGATAAGATCTCGTCCTTTCTGTCTACTTCGCCTCTAAACATTGCTTTGGAAACTTCCTACTAGTGTGTCATTCTACACCTGTTTGATAAGGTGGCCATTCTATTGGTTTCTCGGCTAGGCGATTTTGTTAAATTGACCAGCTACATTCTTGACCTGGATTAGGTAGTGATAAAACCAGAGTAGTCCATGAAGGCTCTGCAGTCATAGATAGCACAGCAGTAGTAGTGATAGCAGAAAATCACATGGGTTCTTGTATTCCATATTACGTAAGTAATGGTGTTTGATGTTGGAATTCTTTGGCATTGTGTGTGGCTGGTTTGATCTATGTATTTGCCAATACATTTTACACAAGTTTTATAGAGCTACTGATGTTCTTTTTAACCTCACTGATTTGAGGTTTTAATTTTTCTACACTTCGTTGATGTCTTTTTTGCACCTCTGATATTCTTTTGTGCATCTTCAATTTTGTCATTACAATCTTCCCGCACTTCACAGATGTCGCTTTATTATTACCTCATTGTTACCGTTATCCTTCTGTACGTCTTCATACAGATTATTCGATCTTGTTTCATCACTTCCACCAAATATTTCGATCTCACCTTTGATTTTGTCGAAAAAGTACTAAGTTAGGAAGAATCTTAAAATTGCTTTGTAACGTCATATTCATAAAATAATTAGTACGTTATACATTGTAATTTGTCCATCTTGAAAGCTTCGGTATAAGGTATGAAGGCCGATAGCTTGAAAAATAAAAACGTAAGAAAAGTTAACTAAGAAGATATTTAATCGTTTTATTAAGTAACATACAGGGTAAATATAAACTACCAATCTCATCTACGCAATTCAAAATGCTAGTGTACTATAATATCGTCGTTATAACATACAGAAAAGTGGTAAGAAAGTTAT